TATATAACAAGACGCAAGAAATATCATTTTATAATCAATTTATAGAATAGCATACCTGAATGATAACAATCATGTATGATTACGCTTTCGTTGCATTATTTCGGCGAACAAACAGCATGAAGTATACGAGAATCTCGATCTATTCTAGGTGTGCAGAGTATTGTAGAAGCGAATCGTCGAAGTCAAAATCGAGGCAACAGCAGAGCAATCGTGCGGTAACGTTTAATCCGTTTCGACGAACATTCGACAGTTTAAGGGGATGCTGGAATGGCCGAATTATCGGGATTTTGCAAATCGATATAAATCTCCGAATTTACTGAACGAAATCAAAAATCCTTTTATAGAATTAAAGTAGACGCAAAATTTGAGAGTGCAATAGACTTTATACTAAAATCGGGAAAAAAGTTAAAAACTTACATTTTTTCAACTCGTAGAACCGTCACCTGACGTAAATGTTTCCTTAATACAAAAGTTTTATAGCTCGTATGGACCAAACGATAGTGCAGCACTCAGAGCATTACGTGTACAAACAATACTGAGTTTATGAAACTAAGATTCAAAGCTTCAAAAGAAAGATTTATATCGATCTGCAAATGACGTGTATACGAACGCTGAGCGAAGACTCGAAATGATAAACAAAACAATAATTGTGTCTAGTAGTAGGTGTTCGATCTTCTAAGAGATGGCGTTGCAAAATGTTAGATAAGGACAGATGAATGCGTTTGAGCGAAACACAATGATATATAAGTATAAGAAATGAATGAAAGATGTCACTATTATCAAACTTGGAATTTAAAAAAGTTTATACTGTCGACCTCGATCAAGTTCGGCCGTCGAACCAGCCCCTTAATAACCATTGACAAGATAGCAGACAAATTGAATATTTCTGATTTATTTATATCTATATAATTTGGGAATCGTTTGGGGAAATTTGGGAAAAGCATTTAAATATTTGGGAAATAGTATTTTTCTTGTAATTAACAAATTTTATCATGCGTCAAGTTAGCCCTTACGAAAAAGACCGACTGCCGAGGTACTACTGACTACTACATAGAAATATTACAGGGAACTGCTGGAAATATTACTGGAAATCACACAGACATATTATTGACAACTACACAGAAATATTACTGGTGTGTGTGATTTTTTTCGCACTATTGCTGAAATGTATTACTGCCTAAATATTACTGCCAGTAGTATTTAAATATGAATTTTTGCAAGTTCAAAATAACCGCATTTGATGCATTATACTTCTCTTAAACTCTACAGAAACTGATTGAAATAAAAATATATACAAACGACAAATAAAATAATCTGCATTTTTTTAAATACTGCGAATTTTAAATATTGTAAGACATACAGGATGTATCTTAATTAGCGCTCAGCACTATTTCAATTTATATATTTCCATTAAAATTAAATTTCAATATTCTTTGAATAATATTAAAAAGTTTCGAGAAAAATGTTTTCTTAATAAATTTAAGTAATTACAATTTGTAATATATCTAAAGATGTTTGCACTGCACATTTTACATGTACTAGCACACACACACATATCCTGCATAATAGAATTATTTATCGTAATAAAACAATCAATTATAATCCGCGTGTTTTTATAATATAAAACTCATCTATTATAAATAATAGATGAGTAATATATAAACTATCCCGTGCTCCACTACACCGACAGTAATTATTACATGGGTTGCAATACATTCAATGATATCCACAGGTATATATAGCATTTATCTTGTAATCCACTGGCAGTAGTTTCTATATGGTAGTAATAACTACAAGGATAACCAGAGGTGTGTAATAACCACTGTGTAATCTGATGGTCGTAATTATTACACAAGCAATAATAACTCTAGTAATAACCTCAGCGGTGTAATACATTTGATCCACCAGTAGTAATTACTACACAGGCAGTAATACCCCCTATTTAATGTGTTTTATGAATGGAATCGATTAGAAATTATTTGAGGAAGACGTCTTCATTATTATTTTCATTTAGGAAAAGTCACTATTTGGTAATTCAATAGATTTATACATTACGAAAACGAACAAAGTCCGGGTGTAGTATGGATGTAGTAGGTGTAGTACAATGAGAATATAGTAAACCTAAAATCATTAAAATCACATTAAATAAAATCGCTGTCTACTAATTTGACGCATGATAAAATTTGTTAAAAATTACAAGAAAAATACTATTTTCCAAATGTTTAAATGCTTTTCCCAAATTTCCCCAAATGATTCCCAAATTATATAGACATAAATAAATCAAAAATATTCAATTTGTCTGCTATCTTGTCAATGGTCCCTTAACACTTGTGATAACTCTTCGCGCGCGAGATTTCTTTTATGGCCATTCTACAATAAGCCATTAGTCATAAATCAGAAGTTAGAAGCTGGAAATTGATGACTGTGATTGGTCAATTTTCAGCTTCTAACTTCTGATTTATGATTAATGGCTTATTGTAAAATGTGTGTTAGACGGAAACGGTTCTCTTTTGGGTAACGATCGCGGTAAATACAGACTCATGCAGGATGATTTGAACACAACTCCGCCACCTTTGCGTTATGTTTCTCGCGAAGCGCAAATAGCGCGACTTACCGCGAACGATGCGAACCACAATTTGAAATCAATCGAAAAGGAAGCGACATTCGATTATCGAAGTATCGAAATATTCGAGACTGCAAACGGATGGTAGTATTTAAGCCCGGTATTAAGCCCATGGCAGTAAGCGAATTGGTGACGATAGAGACCGTAAGGCCAGTAGCGAATCCAATGTTACGATTTCCTTACTGCTTACGTCTTACGGCCTTACGTTTTTGTATGTGCCATGGGCTTTAAAACCTGTTCTTCTACAATAGGGTCGCAAGCCGTAAGCTGTGTGAAATTAATCAATCATAGTCGATTATTTTTCAATTGTGATTAGCCAACCCAGTAAGCAAAAAACATTTTGGAACATTTCAGCGATGTTGTAGCAACTTTGTTGAAACGTTTCAAATTGTTTCTTGCTTACTGGGAATTTCTTACGGCACACGGTTATGGTATCAGCATAAATGCTGCTTTACTTTGATTTTAAGGGGATCCTAAAACCGTCTATATTACTAACTAAATCGTAATTTTTGTATAATAAATACTTTCTTCCTCTTTCACAAATTCAAAAATCCTTTTCCAGGATTAAAGTATACACATTAATACATGTTTGTGAGGTGGAATTTATGCCGAAAACGATAAAAAATTTCGAAATTGAAATCTTAAAAAAACTTTTTATCGTCCTCGGCATAAACTCCACTTTACAAACACGTATTAATGTGTATACTTCAATCCTAGAAAAGGATTTTCGAATCTGTGAAAGAGAAAAAAAGTATTTGTTATACAAAAATTAAGATTTAGTCGGTAATATAGACGGCTTTAGGATCCCCTTAGCGAGACTTAAAACTCTCTCTATCTCTCCCTCTCTTTCGGCTTTGAAGAGAGAAAGTGAGTTTCAAGTCTCGTTTAAAGTCAAAATAACATTGGTGCAATCGGATCCTAAATATTTATTGTTTCGCGGGATAAATTAGGATTTTTTAATTATACACATATACGTGCGTATGCATACAATGAAATGTATGAACAAACAAATCATATTCATTAAAAAAATGACTGAATTCCGCTTCGATTCATTATGATTAAATGTAAAAAAGTTCGAGATATTTTTCAGTAAATCAGAAATGGTCGAGATTATCGCAAAAAAGAGCAATTGGTGTAATTAATTATATAAAAAATAAAGACACATATATACCTGGCGATATTTCAGGTTTTATTGAGAAAGTAAAGCGAGAACTTGAAGAGAGAACTTCCGTTGATCTTCGTACGCACAGAAGTAGATCACTGGTACATACCGAAATCACAGTAATAATGACGTGATAATCAACATGTAATGACATCATTCGACGTTCTGTAGAAAACATTTACTATAACTTTTCGCATGTACTTACAGCGACAACAATCAAATAGAAATCATAGAGCGATCGAAGTGCAATTTTGCGATCACCGCGACGACACGTTTCACAACTGATGACGAAATCTGAAGAAACTTCGATTCTCGAAATCTTGACGCTGTAGCTTACCAATGTAGCGTTTATTTCATGCAGTAGTCATTTAAAATTGAAATAACATTCAAATATTTTAGCATATACGTTAGACTAGATAAAAGTAATGAATAATTTTATACTAATTTGTTTATATACATATATCTTCAATATTTTATTTATATCGCGCTATTTAAGTTATTAGTAATACATCAAAGATTTTGATATACATATTTTTTAATATGGTTATATATAGAAATAATCGAAGTAAATTAATTACACTAATCCATTTTATATTTGTTCGACAGAGAATTTAAAATTTTATACGTTACTTCATCACTTATATTAAATATTCTAAGAGTGTCTAAATTATTTATATTTTTAATTATATTTATGAGACAATAGCATAAAGTAACAGACTGAAGGTAAAAACGAAAAATATATATAAAAAATCAATCTAGTCATTCAATCGTTTTGTAGTCAACAAAACTGAATTTAATAGTACATTTTACATTTAATAGTAACAATTTTATAATAATTCACTTTTTGTTATACATATAAGAAGTATGGAATAAGTAAGGATATTGATAAAAAAATTTTATTATTGATTATTTCAAGAGAATAAATAAAAAAGATAATAGTATTTCTTGAACACCGTATTGTATCAATATTTGTGATGAACATCGTGCACCTGCACGTACAAAAATTTATGTAATTATCGTATTTATGTAATTATCGTGTGACATGAAATTATTGTAAAATTATTAATTATAAAAAAAACATAATTATATGAAAATGAAGACTTCACAAACATGTTTAATTGAAAGAATATAAATAAAAATATATGTACTTATACCTCAAAATAAAAGTGTTTTTTTTTTTTCATTGCAAATCCAGCTTATTTAAAAAAGCTTATTTCCAAAATATTCATTATTGCGGTGTAGGTGGAGTCACATAACATTCTGGTATTACTGATAGGGTTTGCTTTGACTCTAGTTGTTGCACCTAACAAAAGTATAACAATAACAAGATTAAAATGTGAATAATTTTCTGAATTTATCTTTCAAATAATGAAATAACTATTTAAATTCTTACACGCTGCCGCAGAGTCTTCTCATTTATAGCAGCCCTTGTCAATAATTGTTTCACTTTATTTAAAAGCTCAGATTTGTGAATCAACTGTTGCTTTAAGATTCGGAAATCTCCATTGTCATCTTCCTTGTGAGCTTTTTCTAACATAATTACTCTTTGTTCAGCTAATCGTAAATCTGCCTCCAAACTTATCACACGTTTCTGAGATTCTTCATATTGTCTTTGGAATAAAGTATCTCCTTCAATAATATTTGTTTTTCCCTATATTTAATAACATATATAATAATATACAAAAAAGAAAGATAATACATAATATCAAAGAAGGGATTGTACAATTTACTTTATTAACTAGAAGATGAGTTTTCTTGGAATTAAATTTCAATCTTTTATTTTCTGCCTGAAGTTTCTCGATAATTCGCTTCAATGTGAATATTGTTTTTTCCATTTCAAAGGTAGATTTTTTATTATTTGATTCTGGCAGTTCTTTTTCTGATGATCTAGGAGTGGAATCAGAAGATTTTTCTGCTTTTAACAATTGGATATATCTGTAATAATAATAATAATACAATAATATTAATTGTTTATCTCTATCTATTTTCGCAGCATATAAAAATATACAATATGAACATACTTTTCCAAATGTTCGACTTTTTCTCGCAATCCCGGAGTATCCGAATTCGCTCTTTCTAATTCAAGTCGTAATTCAAAATTTTCACTTTCTAACTTAAGATTCATTTTTTCAAGAACATCTTTAGTCATTTCTAACTTCTCAAGCTGACTAATTACATTTGTATTACCCTATAAGATAGTATCGAATAAAACATGATGAAAATCATGTATTCACACAGTAAAAATAAAGCATAACAATATGCTAACCTGAGAAACTGCCTCCAAAGCTGTATTATGCCGTTTTAATTCCGCTATTTCTAACATCAAATGTTCATTGCTTTCTTTTTCTAAGCGATCAGTTAATTCCTTAACACGTTCTCTCAATATTCGACATTCTTTCTCCAGTTGTTCTTCCACTGTGTTATGCTGAATATTTGAAATGGGTCTTCCTGATGATGTACCAGATACATTATCGCTTTCAAGTTTGAGCTTACTTCTCAAATGCCATTTTTCTCGTTCCATACACGAAACAACAGACCGCAGCTTTTCATAATTTGCAAGCAATTTTTCATATTCATCGGTCTTCTCTTTAAGCTTTTCCTTTAATTTTTCTGCCGTTTGCTGCCATTTTTTCTGTTTCTCCCACAATGAAAGTTCTTCTGCGGTCTAAAAGGGAAATGTATTAAGTACTTATAACATAAAATAGCAATATTTAATCATATACCTTAGCCCTTTTAGCTTCTTGTGCCAAATATTCACGATCTAATTGAGTTTTTGTTTTATGCAACTCTTCTTCTAAAGTTGTTACTTTACGGTCAAGCTGCATTTCACGTTGAGATGTCTTCTTCTCCTGAGCTTTTATTGCCATATATCTAAAATAATTATAAAATATTCTTAACATATAAAAATTATATGGAAAAAGTAAATAAAAATGTGTTTAAAAATTGGTACATAGATTTACCTGCGACTAAGTTGCTGTTTCAAATCAGCTATTTCGTTCTTATACATTTTCTCTTTTTCCATTAAAGATTGAAGCTGTCGACGTAAAACGTCCATTTGATTTTGTTGTTGTATTTGATCGCGCTGACTATTGTGCGTGGATTCGTGTATCTTCATGTCGCTGCGAGCATGAACCATTACTTGATAAGATCGATTTGCAGATTCTATTAATTCAACTTCATTCTACGCAATAAATAAATAGATTGAATAACGCAATAGATAAATCTATTAAATAAGTTTAATAAATTGAAATATAATTCCAATAAATTAACAAAATATATAGTTAATAAATTTACGTACTTGTAACTGCTGACAAGCAAGAGTTAACTCGTGTATTTTGTCATCTTTGTTTTGTAACTCTTTCATCAAGGAGATATTTCCTTTTGTGAGTAACATGCGATTTTCAGATAATTGTTGTCTAAGTACATCAGCCTCGGACTGCCATTTATTTAATTCACCGCGGTAGCTCTCTAATTCATTTTTATGTTGTTGCTCTAATCTATAAAACATAAATTATTTTTAATGCTAATCATAAAAGCTACCTCTCATGTAAATTTATTATTTTATTAGTCGTTTATCACCACTTAGAATTCAATTTAAATTTAATTAAATTTAAAAAACAACAAGGTTTTACATTGTTATCAAACAAACCTTTCTCTCATATGATCCATATGTTTCAGTCTTTCTTCTGCTAATCGATGCCAACGCTCACTCAGTTCTTTGCTAATATTTAATTCTGCTTCGAAAGTGGATACTTTCTCATGCAGCCTCGCAATTTCCTCTTCTTGTACAGCACTGCTTTTTGCTGTAGTTTCATCAAATGTCGACGATTTTTCAAAAACATTTTTTATAGTTACGACCGAATCTTTACTTTTTCGGATTTTACTTTGCATAGCTAATATATGATCATGCAAATTCTTAATCTCATCCTGAAAATGACTTGCTGCCCGACTATGCTCATCCCTGTCTTCTTTTAATAAATTTTGATATCTTAAAATAGTTTCTTCTTTTTGATTAATTAATTTCTGTAAACTATTTATCGTCGACTTCAAAGCTAACTTGTCAGCACAATCAGTACTTGCAACTCGAGATTGAGTCATTAATTCGTCAAGTACATTTTGCTTTTGAGCAAGATGTGAATCTTTTTCCTCAATTGCTTTGTTCAAAGTGTCAACTTTTGTTAAATACTGTAAATTTCTTTCTTCGATCACTTTGTTCAAAGTATCCACTTTTGCTTGATACTGTGAATCTTTTTCTGTGATGACTTTATTTAGAACATCTACTTTTGATTTATACTCGGCTAATTGTGATTCACACTTGACAAGCATTGCGGAGCGTTCTGATGCAAGTTTCAATGCTTGATCCAGCTGCTCGTTAAGTATCGCCGAGCTGGCACTTTCTTCTGTATTATTTCCCACTTCTCGGAATGTCTTTTCTGTAGTTTCACTTAATTTAATAGGTTTCTGAATATCTTTAAAAATTACGGTTTCCTTATCGGTTTCCTTATCGATTTCTTTATCAGTTTCCTTAGTGATTTCCTCTACTTTTTTATTTAAGCAGCAAATGTAGGGATCTGTTTGAACACTAACTACTTGAGTTTCCATCGTTACTTGAATAGATTTTGTCTCAAAATTTTGTGTAGTAATTCGAATTTGATGTTCCTGTTGTGGACACCAAGCTCTCTGAATATTTAACATATCCTGTTCCATGCTGTTTATCACTGACTCGTATTCGTTGAATTTACTATTAGCAATTTGGAGTTCACGCTCCAAATGAGTTATTCTTCTTTTGTATTTAAAATCCTAAGTAACAAAATAGAAAATTTTGTTAGAGAAAAAAAACCTAAAAATTTGATCTGCAGGCAACATAAATATTAAAATTTATTATATTATCAAGTAATAAGAATTAAGTATTATGATTAAAATGCATTATAAAAGCTAGAAATTAAAAAAAATATTTTAAATATATGCAGAATATATTTATTGCTGCAATATAAACTCAATGTTATTTTAATAAATTTTATTAAATTTTTTACATTAACTCATAAAGACTTTTAGACTTACACTTAGAGTTTGTTGTGAAGTTTCGCCATAATGCTCCATTATGTTTAGGACGCTGCCAGCACCAATTTGTTGCTCTAACATGTCTTTCAGACGTTCTACAATCTCAAGACGAGCAGATAGATATTGTTGTTCGTATTTAATATCTTCATGACATTTTTTTGCGTTTTGCAGCTTTGTATCAATATTTTGACGATCTATTTTTAACCTTGCAGCCAATGTAATTACTTTTTCTAAGATACTTATAGAAGTTGATCCTGCATATTGACATTGTAAAAAATATATAATATCTATATAATACCTGTAACATGTATAATATGTATGTAAAATACCATAATATATTTTCTTTTATATACAAAATAATATTTAAAAGTAATTTCTGATTTTACTTGCAACGATTATCACATTGTTTTCGACAATCTTGTACGTAACTACGCATTTCCTCGTATTTCTGTTTTAAATTATTAAGCTCTTCTTGTGCACAAGATAACTCATTCTGCAGTTGTGTTTTCTGTGTAGATAGATCCATTTCTGATATCTTCTTACTCGTAAGCTCAAAATTAAGTCTTGAAATAGTGGCTTTATCTTCACTCACAGCTTGCAAATCTAATATTTGATGCCTAAGACTATCTAATTCCAGTGTTTGTAGCGAATTCAGCGAATATTGTAAACGAGCTTCTTCTTCAGAAATATGTAGCATTTTTTTCAGACTTTTATTCTCTATAAAAAGTTGCTTCTTTTCATTTTGCAATTCCTGTATACGGTTATCATCTGTTTGTATCGTTTCTTGCAACATTATCTTTTTAGACAACATTTTGTGTACTTCAATCAATCTCTCTTGCAATTCAGAATTAGAAACAGAAAGTTGTTTAACATTATCTTCGTACTTTGTTAATTGCGTTTGTGATATTTCGAGTAATCTAGCCATTTGATCAGCTCGCTGCCTTTCAATTAATTCCTTGGCTTCTATCTCTTTCAATCTTTGTTGTAAACTATTATCACTCTCATAGTCTGTTTTCCGCGAATCCTCAATTAATTGCCTTTTTTCCTGTCTTATTGCCTCTATTTCTGTTTTCAAAGACGATATTTCGTTAGAACTATTAGATACCATAACATTTTCTAACAAAGCACGATGGCGTATATTCAATTCCTCATATTTTTCTTTCAATTCGTTATGCACTATTACACTCACAGAATTATATAAATTACTCTGCAGGAGTGAAATTTCTGATAGCAACGTTTTACTGTATTTATTTGCCTCAGTAAGCGTTTTATTAAAATCACTCTCTTTTTTAATTATTTCTTTTTGATATTCATATAATCTATTAATTTCCTTGTTAAGTAATTGTTGAAGACTAGCATTCTTTCTGTTCATAACTATTATTTCGTTAGCAGTATCCGCGTATTCTCTCGTTTTTGCCGCAAAGGCTTTCTGAGCTTCGTCATCTCCATCTTCAATAATCTGCCAATTTTTCTTATAAATTTCTAATTGCTTTTTAAGACCATCTATCTCATTTGTCAACTCATTATTTTCTTGAACTAGTAAATCTTTCTGCTTCTCCCATTCCTCTGCTTCATTTTTATATGCCATTTGTAAAGCTTTTATTTCTGCAAGATACATTGTTATTACTTCATCTTCGCCATGTTTCTCGTATAATTTTTCAAAATCTATATCTTTATTCTCTGCTAAATCTTGCAGAATATTATCCTTCCTTTGCAATTCTTTTCTGTAAATCACATGATAACACTTTATAAATTATAATAAAGATAACAGAATATATCAATTATCTCATTGTTTATAATAGAAAATATAATAATACTACTTTGATAACAAATACCTCAGCGTTTTAAGTTGTGATCTTAATTCAGCATTACTACCCTGTACAACATTAAGATGTTCCTGCAATCGCATAGCTGGATGATACCAACCAGCTAAATGCCTGACGTCTAAAGCTTCTAATAATCGTTCCAATGTACTGGATTGTATTTCCACTTCACTCTTACCTAAACCGAAAATGCAGACATATTAGCTTCTTCTTTAGGGCACTATTTAAAAAATACAAAAATAGCAATGTTCTGTATCTACTCAAACCAAATAGAAAAATTAAATAGGTTTAGCAGATTTTTTAAATTTATATTTCATATTAAATAAAAAAAATAAAAAACTAAACAGAAGAAAATACAGTGTCAGAAATGGAAATGTGTGCAATACTAAAGTACCGTTAAAGTTAGCGAAAATTCACCATCTTGATTGCGTATACTGTCCATAATCTCATGCATGCCCGTTCTAAGTGCCTCATTTTCTTCTATAAGTATCTGAATATTCTGATTAACTTCAGAAATATCTATTTTGGAAGATATTTGCATATTTTCTGATTCCACTAATTTAGTCGAATGTAAAAACTGATTACTGGAATCGCCTAAATTGTTTGAAATATCTAACTTCTCAGACTTGCTCAATTTATATTTTAACATTCTTATCTACAAAAAGTAAAAATTTGTAACAAGAACTCTTACAGTATATAACATAAATTATATATCTCAATCAGAAAAGATATATGTATATTTTATACATAAATTCTATAAATTAATTTTTTCATAATTCTTACATCTGACTTTAATTCTAAATTTTCCTCTATAAGGCTTTTATTTTGATGAATAAGCTCTTCCATTTTCTTTGATTCCTCTTTACGTTTCGCTACAACACTTTTAATCGATATTGATTCATCTTCTGGAATCCCTAATTTTTCTCTGTTATAATATGAAAAAATAGTGTTATACTTATTTCCTTTAGGCGTAAGGGATATAAATTAATACTTTAGAAAATTTTACCTAAGAGTTAAGATCTCCATTTCTTGATATGAATTTAACATCTCCAATTTATTAATAACATTGGTTAAATCTTCAATATGTTCATTTTTATGATCAATTTTAATTTTTAATTCTTTAATTTCATTTAATGCCTTAGCTAAAGCCTGATTTCCATCTTCATATTTTTTTAATGTAGATAATACTTCGCATAACTACATAAAAAATAAAAATTTATCATTTAACATATTATTTAACAAATAAGTATGTATAGTATTGTATAAAATTATTGCCATTTTTATTATATACTTATTAATATATGGTTATTTTTTAATTACTTGATTCTCAAGTAATTATGAAATATTTAATACTAAAATGTTATAAAAACATTAAAAAATTTTTCATGTTTCCAACTTTTTCAGAAGAAAATTAACTCTTAAACAAAAGATTTATAGCTTAAAAAAATAATGGCAATAACTTTTTATAAGTAATCTTTTATAAATTAAATATACAAATATAAATGTCTGACTTTACTACTCTGTGACATGGCATCATCCTGTGCTTGTGACAATGCGTTTTCCAAGTTAGAAATCTTTTCATTTGCAATTTGTATTTTTTTCAACAAATTTTTTTGTTCTTTCCGTTTATCACTTTTTGCAGACCTATAAAATGAATTAATAATTTTCAAAAACAATTAAAAACATATTACAAATAGAATAAAAAAAGACTACATACCCATATGTTTCTCCTTTTAATTTTTCTATAAGTGCAGCACTCTCATTTATTTCAATGACTGCTTCAGAAAGTTTAGTTTGCAATTCAGCTATAATCGCGTCCCTACGAACTATTTCGTCATTTAACTGAACAATCTGTGTTTTATTTTCTTCTTTTACTGATGTAATCGACTGCATTAAAAAATGTGATAAGCTTTCCTTCAAATGTGTTATCTCCATATCTTTTTCATCCAGTACACCCTTATATAACATAAATCATATAAATTCATATACACATTTTCTAAAAACACACATACTAAATTTATATTTAATACCTTCCATTCAGATATTCTAGCATCAATAGCTATACCAAATTCATCTAGCAATTTGTCTCTATCTACTTGTTGAGTTGTTAATTCTTCAATTTGAATAATTAAAGCTGCATTTTCTTGCTCCAACTTCAATATCTTTTCTGTAATATGGCATTTATGCATTTATTGAAATCACATTTATAAAAAATATATATTATATTCATATATAATATATAGAAACCTTTATACTCCACTGTTTTTATTTGTGCTAAACGAAGTTCTTCAGTCACTTCGTTCATTTTTTCTGTTGCATCTTCCATCTCATCTTTCAATGTTGTTAGTTGCTCCTTAAGACTCTCATTCTCTTTGTCCAAATTCTAAAAAATAAAAAATAAAAAACAAAACAATTATTATTACTGTATACACTTTGTTATATACACTTACCTCTAATTCAGCCATAAGTGTCTTAACTTTTTCACTTTTGCCTTGTGCGTCTGAATGTCTCTTCAAATCTGTATCCTATATATAAAATTAAAGTATTGTACAAAATATATAAAATAGAACACTTTTAATGATATACTATAAATAATAAAAAAAAACTTACTCTAGTAAAACTATCATTTTCTTGTTTTGTTGCAGCCATATCATGATCTGTCAAAATAATCATCATGTAAATAATACTTGAAGATAAAAAATGTATATATTATCAATAAAAATGACTATTTCATCAATAAAAATTCTTTTAATTTTTGGATTTCTTATTTTAAAATAATTTAAAATACATATACATATATATCTATATATATATACAAAGTTGATAATATGGTACCTTTGATCTTTCGTTTGGCAGTCTCTGGATGTAATGAAGCTATCATTTCTTTTAATTCGCCACACTCAAGAAGCAAAGCCTCAACCTAATATTAATAGAATTATTTTATGCGCAAAATATTAACGAGAAAAATTTATTTCTGTGAGCAAGCTTTTTTGAATGAAAATCAATACTTATTAAGCTATTAAGTATCATCATACATAAAGCATAATATTTATAACAATATAGTAGATGCTAGTTTATCAATCATTTAACGTAAATACGTAATAAGAAATAATTTCCATACTTGATTATCTTTATAGGTCAATATTTCTTGTGACAGTCTCACAAGCGTCCGCAAACCGGGTATGTCAGCGATCTCGTCCACGTCACATCGAACCACCGCGGGAAAAAGATTCTCGATTTCTTCGTCTGTTAAAGACGAAGCATTTACGGATAATATCCGATCCCAGTCGGTGCGAACCATTTTTTCGCGATAGCAATCAAGCAATGAATCATACAACCCTCATCTACATACTATCTCTCGGACATTCCCCTTCGATTTGACATTTGCTATACACTGTATAGGCTACAATTTACAAACATTGCCTATCCACCATCAACAGAGAGAAACCTGAGAGCGGCCCCAGGGCACAGTATATACAGTA